GGGTGACATGGTTTAGTGTGTGGTGTCCCTATTCATGGCAGGGGGGTTGGATCGTAAGGTCCTTTCCAACCCAAACTATTCTATGATTCTATGACCTGGAACATTCTGTCAAAACTCTGGAGCTGAAAATGCATCCTACATCAATACATCAATAGAAATACATCGTGTGTTTAAAGTCTGTATCTCCTTACAAACTAAAACTACACGTGGTCAAGAGATTAAATACTTTTAAGAGTCACAAGTGTTTTCAAAATGTCACAAAAAATAAAAAATCAAGCTCTTGAAGAGACTTGAAGTAAGAATGTTCAGCAGTTTTCCACTATAGAAAAGAAAAACATGTGGGTTTTTTTCTTATTTTTCTCCCAATTGTGCTGCGCAAGTAACAAAAAGGCAAGGAGGAAAAATGGGAATGTAGCTGTTCTCTCAGGCTTTTTTTTCCAAAACCACAACCTTTGCAAGAACTTATGCATTTAGAAAACTAATTAATACTAACAACAAGAGTCCCTTGCAGGCCAAGACACTAGCAGACGCAAGGATTTGAAAATGACACTCACTACATCTGAATATTGAGATGGAAGACTCTTCGTGGAAAAAGGTGAATAATTCTTATTTTAAGGCAAGATGTCAAGTTCTAGTATGATGTGGTGTTTGACGTGAGGTATGTTGTCATGGACTGGAGTTGGAAACTTTCATGAGTTACTCTTCAGTGCCAAAAGTGAAGTAGGGAATTGTAGGTTAGGTAATCATTAAGTTGTAACACGTTTTATAAAGGAGCTTTGTGACTTGTTACAAACAGCAGTCCCTGAAATCAGCAAGGACTAGATAAAATTAGCAGTTTCTCACAAGAACTAGTTCCTAACTGGCTGAAGCTGACCTTGTAGTTTGGAGAGAACCCAAGAAAACTTTGAGCATGCGCAAGACCAAGGGGTGAAGAGTGCATGGTGAGGAAGACCTATGGCCTTCATCCCCCACAACCCCAGAAGACCACCACCAGAAGATACTGCACAAGCACAGGGAGGAGGAGTCCTAATTTTAATACGAAGCGGAGACAGGTCATACATATGTATAGGAGTATTAGGAAATCTCATGTATATGCAACAGTTACTGTATAAATTTAGAGCAAATTGTCATGACAGGCAAGCATGGCTTTGGTGGGATTATCCCCTGTGCTGCCCAGCGCTGAATAAACATACCTACTTTACCATCTTACAGACTGTGGAGTCTGCTTTCCGCACGTCAGTTTGGCGAGCCAGGCAGGAGGCTCTCTGCTTGGCCGCAGGATCGACTGCGGAGCGGAAGCCCCTGGGCACGCCCCGAGCATTTGACTCGGAGGTGCCTCTGTTGCCAGCTGCTCACCGCGGGAGCAGACAACGACCTCCTGAAGCCACGGAAGCAAACGGTCTGTTTTGTAAGAGGGACCTGTAAGTCGTACGCGTGGTCAGGGCAGCTGGTAAATTGCGCAGAGACGTCTGGCGTGCAGCATAAGCCCATAGGGGAGGAGGGTACCCAATATGGTAACAGTGGGGATTTGCTGACAATAGGGCGGCCGCTAGCGATCTTGGGAGTAGATCGAGCAAATCCGCCTTATGCGGTAACAGGCGTGATTTGCTGACAGATAGGGCGGCCGCTAGCGATCTTGGGAGTAGATCGAGCAAATCCGAGGTCACCGCTGCATCCCAGTGTCGGGAGCCAGGACGGACCTGCTAATGACTGGTATATAAGAAGCAGGAGAAGGGTAAGCGGGCCTCTCGCAATTGTGATAGGACTATTTGCAGCTGCTGGATGGTTGTTATCTGGAGTGATAATTGTGTTACTTGTATACCCAGGAATTTTATGTTAAAAAGTTTTTGTTTGTGTGCGCATGTAATGTTCGAGTAGCTTATATGCCCATATATTGTGACCAAGGAGAACAGCAATGGAAAGTACTTCTCCAGTGATTTGGGCTCAAACCTTGAGAATATTTAAAAAGGAGGACATTGGATAAACAGGGGAAATGAGTGATTTTACGCAATTGCGATAGGACTATTTGCAGCTGCTGAACGGATGTTATCTGGAGTGATAATTGTATTACTTGTATACCCGGGAATTTTATGTTAAAAGTTTTGTTTGTGTGTCGAGTAACTTATATGGAATTAACAGGGGAAATGAATGATTTTGTTTAAAAGGGGCGTATGTGACTCCCGCAGGGTGGAAGGTGACTTTGGACTGGGAACAACCTTCGAATTCTGTTATAAGTCCCAGTGCCAATGCACTAACATGGGGGATTCCCTGCTTTACATAAGAATTTGTTCTTAAATTATACGAAAAATTGGCACCAGGCTTGGGTTTTGTTGCAACAAGTGTCAAAAGACAATTTGTGTGGAAACTCACCAAGAGACTAGCGAAATTAGAAATAAAAACCTGATAAGAAAATACAAAAATGAGCAACACGCAGGGGGGAATCTTGAAGAAAAGCCCCTTAGGCTGTGTGTTAGCCCATTGGAGAGGCATTGTTGGAGCTGGTGGTACAGAAAGTAAGAAAACTCTTATCAAATATTGTAATCAACTAATCAATGGTGGCCTTTATATAAGTTGGAGGATGGTGCTAAATGGCCATTCAACGGCTCGATAGATTATAACACTCTCCTGCAGCTTATGTTGTTTTTGAGAAGAGAAGGAAAGTGGGATGAGGTTTCATATACAGATATGTTTTTCACTCTCCAAAATCATTTGGAGTGGCAAAGGGACTGTGGAATGGTACCACCACAGGACCCCATGGTACTTGCACTTGAGCGAGAGAATAATAAAGAGATTAAAGGAAAATTGAAGCGGTGCTGCTCGGGATGCAGTATTGGGCAAAGGTGCACTAGAACAGACAAAATTCACCAGGCACCTGAGCAAGATCTAACTGACCTGTTTAAGCCTCCCCCTCCACCACAGGAACTGGATGTGGACTCGGACGGAAACTCCACTCCTCCAAACAGTCCTGTATCTTCCCGTACAAGGAAGAAATCGGCCCCGACAGCCTTACAGGCACCTCTTTGAGAGGCGGTGGGACCTGATGGCGGGACAATGTTAATCAAAATACCCTTTCCAACCACTGATTTGGGAGAAGCCTTACAGGCCCCTCTTTGAGAGGCGGTGGGACCTGATGGCGGGACAATGTTAATCAAAATACCCTTTCCAACCACTGATTTGGGAGAATGGAAAAAGGTTGTAAAGGATTATAGAAGTGATACGGTAAGTGTAACCAAACATTTTCAATTCATTGTAAAACAACATAACCCTGATTGGAAAGACATACCGCTATATTAGAATATATGACTGAGACAGAGAAGCAACTGATTTTAAAAACAGCAGGGAGTTTAGCTGAAGATCATTATAAGATTATAGGAGGGGACGCTAAAGAATATTTCCCTCTCCAAGATCCAAAGTGGGATGCTAATAGAACTGCACATGTGAAAAGGTTGCAGGGGTATCAAGAGTGGATCTCAAAGGGGATGGAGAAGGCTATCCCCAAAACTATAAACTGGTCAGCTTTATATGCAGTCAAACAAGGTCCTTCCGAGTCCCAATCCAAATTTCTGGATCAATTGAGGGATGCAATGCGCCACTCCAGAAGTTACGTCCTACAGAGAGTAGAAATTTAGAAGTGTTGTTGAATGAAGCATGGAGAGTATATACTAATAGGGAGGAAGAATATAAACAAGGGCAAAGAAAAATAGTGGCGGTTGTTAGGGAACAGGAAAAAAGGAGACCCAGATGAGAACCAGCCCGATTAGGCAAAGATCAGTGTGCATTGTGTAAGAAGTTTGGCCATTGGAAAAGTGAATGTCCAAGGAACAAAGAAAAGAGGCAGGAAGGGTAGTTGCCCATGTAAAAGAAGATTGACGGGGAT